TTATATAAATACAAAATTACTTGTTTAGCTTATATACATGTTTGGTTATTTACAATTTAACTACAGGAATTATATTTGATTATAACTTTATATAGAAGGTATATATTAAAGTTCTTCAATATATTTACAATTTTATTGAAAACATAAATGCAAATATACAAAATTAATTTTATTAATTTGTAAAGTTTATAAGTAAGGTTGTGAAGTACAATGTTAGTATAATAATTAGTACAATTAGTATAGTTAGTACATTATAATAATTAATATAAAAATTAGTACAAATATAGTATTAAATTTATTTAATACTTACAAAATTCACAACCCTGTTTATAAGTATGATTATTATGTAACTTTTTAAATTTGTTTGCAGTTTATATTAAAAAAATGCATAAAATTACATTAAATTAAAACATTTTAAAGTGGTCAATAATAATTTGATTTGAATAAAAATAGATATTTTTAAAAATTAAGGTATAATACATTTATTGGCAAAATTTATGTGATAAAATAGAAAGTCTGCTATGTTAAAAATATTAATATTTTAATAAAAAATAATTTCAAATAAATTTAATTAAAAAATAAAGTTACTTCTAAATTTAAAGACCAAATGATTAAAAAAAACAGTAAAATTTATAGGATCAAAAATTATTATAAGACATTTTTTATTAAGAACAAAAAAAAAGCTAAAAAAAAAAACAAAAATAAAATTTTTAGAATAAAAATAACTATCTTTAATTTTAAATTACATGTAAATAAAAAAAAGAAATTGTTTATCTATTCTAAATATCTTTAGTATCTTTAAAACCTTTAAATTTTTATAATTAATTTTTTATATTATCTTATTGTATTTTTTTTTAATATCTCTCTATTATTGATTTTTAAATATTGTATATAAATATCATATAATTCTAAATGTAATAATCAATATTTATAAAATAGTTATTTAAGATTAATAAATACCAATATATTACATTAATTAATACTAATATATCCAATATATCAAAAAAAAATTTTTTTTTGGATTTTATTATTAATTCATTAATTACATTTCTGGAGGTAAGGAACCCGAAAATTTTATAACTAATGGGGTTATTCTAATTCGAGGCTGGTTTGATGATTCCTATTTTGGCTAGTCCTCAATTGAAATCATCCTTAATTTATGCATGTTATATAAATATTATATTATCTTTTTTCGAAACGAAATCAAATCATGTGGTTTGATTATGTATTATTGTCGATCGCAATTTTTATATTATAAAAGGGATTGATTTTCCCACTTAAAATATTAAGAAAAAAAACCTTTCCATCCGAATTTTTTTTTTTTTTTTATCAAACATCTTTAATGAAAATGATCGATGAATATTCATCTGAAATTGAATGTACTACAAAAGTAGTATTCTCTCCAGAAGAATGGAGTAAAATTAAAGAAGTTCAAAAGATTATGGAAAAACATAATCTTGTAATAGAATTACGAGCTTCAGGAGGATATTACCAACACCAAGAAGAAGGATGCTTTGGGCATAGTATTAAACCAAAAAAAAAAAAAAAAAAAAAAGGCAACAGCAACAACAACTGCAGCTGCAAGATAAAGTAGAAGCGGAACCGACTGTTGAATACACTTATTGGTGGCACATATTCCGAGGCTGGAATACTCCATGTTTATTTGATAATTGTGTTGAAGTCGACCATCATAGTCACCGGGTGACGACTCAACAATATAAAGAATTAGAAGAGAAACTTAATCGCCTCCAGAGTAAACAAGCAATCAAAGAATTACCTCGAAGGCCGGGTGATACGGGAAAATTTTGTTTAAAATGTAAATATTCTAATCATAATACTGGCGAATGTTTTAGGAAACAATGTCGTCATTGTAAGGAATGGACTCACCTTGCCAAAAATTGCCGTAAGAAAAAGAAAGGGAAAAAGAGTAATTAGGAATCATATTATAGGAAGAATATCGTCATAATCTTTTATTCTATTTTTTATTTTCTCGTTTTATTATTATTTTATATGTAGAATCATTTATTTTGATTTGTAACTTGGAAATTGTCAAATGTATTAATCAGAAATAGTTAGCTTTTTTATCCTGCTTTCTAAAGTTAATAAAATAAAAAATCGGGGTACCAGTAAGCTAAATTCTAGTTATTCAAATATGGGAAAGTTTCCAGTAAAATCAAGCATGAAATATATTCAATCATATGATATTATCTGACATGTTGATCACATTTCGGTTGTGACTCATCATAAAAATTTGTCACTTTCCACGAAAGGTAAATATGGTCCGAGAATATTTCATCACCCTTTCCAAAAGAACAATCAATCCATATGCAATGTGGTATATACTGTTTTGTGAAGGACCGAAGATTTAAATTGTTTTTTAGAAGAGGAGTTATTTCTCGATGATGAAGCATTAACAAACTTATGAAAATTGGATTAACTCTTGGACCAACAGGTGCATTCATATCTTTAATTGGAACTTTTAAGGGCTATTAGGCTATTATCAAGAAAATTAATAAGAAATAATGGATATATTATTGTCGCGATAAAAATGTGTGAAAAAAAATTTTTTATCACAGCGGAAATGCAATTTTACATGACAAAATAATTGACGATTTATTACCTATTATTATTGTCTCCTTGATTTTCACTTCTTATACTTCTTTTTTAATATAAATCAATCGCAGATCAAGGTTAAGACAGACTAAGAGCTTTACTTATATATCCTTATCATATATTATAGGAATTTGTAGGGGATCATAGAGAATACTTTAAATAAAACGATGAAAAAAAAAACCATTTGAAATGATTAAATCAAAGAAAGCGATGGGTTTTGATAACGCGAGTAGCGTTAAATTTAAATTAATTGAATATTGAAGGATCAGCGTAGTTTTAAAGAATTTTGTGATGGGAGAATTCCAGATATTATGAGATATGTATAGCAACCTTTAGTGATAGTTACGAGAATGTCAAAAATAATGTAATTTTTATTCACGTGATCCTGCATTTAACGAGAATAGTTAATTTGCCACATCTCAAACAAATAAAAATTTGACCCTCTGTATGATTATAATTTGCGACAGGTAAACCGCTTATTTATTAATTTATATATTATTATTAAATTTTTTTTTTGAAAAAAAAAAATTCGTAATTACTTAATCATATTAATATGTAATTTAGATGCTTATTCATTCATAGTATTAAAATGTGAGTTAAAAAGAAAAAAGAAAACGATAAAAAATAAAAAGATAAAATAATATAATAAAAAAAGAAATCTTTCAAAGAATCCTATTTCCAAATATCGAATATAAATAAGAACGAATAACCTTCGGTGTGAATCAACTCAAAAAGTATATGAAATAAATTCTACACTAAAAAATGACTCTTGAATCATTTTTTTTTTTAAAAAAAGAAAAAGAAATGATATAATATTAAATATATATCAATTATACGAAAAAAAAAATTCACCATACCCTCAACGAAGTTGATCCACACTGAAGATCACTGTACTCGGAGGAATCTCTGAATCTTGAGTGATTATTTCAGTTTGATAAAAGAACGACTCAGTTGGATCGTAATCCTTTAGAAACAGTACCATGAATTCTGCTCGTCATAGATAAACGACTGATATGTCTAAAAGTGCTAAGTTCGTCATTTTGACCGGTATTGACATGTTTAAGAGCGTTTATAGCGGCTTCTTTTTTTGCATCCTTTTTATTTCTTGCCGTACCACGACCATAACATTTGCCATTAATAAGTACACCAACGGTAAAGACAGCGTTATGTTCATTACAAACTTCACCGTAAGGTTTATAAGCTGGAATTCCCATCCCTCTTCTTTGAGACCAAGTTTGAAGTTTATTAATTGGATCCTGAAGGTCAGAATTTAAAATTTGGTCTGCGATCATTTGAAATTGTGCGTTATTATTTTCATGAAGTTTCTGCTTTATACATGCTGGAAAAACCGCGGAGTGAGGAGAACTCCGAATTAATTCATCAACAGCCGGGGCTAACAAAGGCTCCATAAAATCTCGTACTGCATCCATGCTATATCCTGAATCAAGAAATACAGCTCCAATATATGCTTCAAAAGCATCTTCTAAAACTTTTTCACTTCCTCTGCCACCATCGCGTAAGGCTCCAACTCCTAAACGAATTTCGAAGTCCAAACCAAGTTGAAGAGCAAATTGGGCCAATTTTTTTTTACAGACCAAATTAGCTCGTAACAGGGTAAGCTGACCCTCTTTGAAGTTTGGGAAGCGGTTAAATAGGTAATTTGCTACGACAAAGGAGACGATCGAGTCTCCCAAGAATTCTAAACGTTCGTTATGAGGTCCAGTTGAAGGGTTTTCATAATGATAAGATTTATGTGTTAATGCTTCCATTCGATACCTGTCATCAAGAAACTTTCTTTGGAAGGCATTAGTTCTTTTTTTGGTAGACATTTTTGGAGGAATTGAGGAAAAGTAAAAAAGATTGTAATGATGGTCGATTCAAAAAAAAGTCGGTCCTTTTATCCGTTCATCGTTGCACAATGGCATTAAAATTAGATAATGGATTGGTGGGCATTATTAAATTATGCAAGGAGAAGTAATATGTAAGTGTTACAGGCTTAGCGGTAAATATCATAAAAGTCCTGTTGGATGTTTAATGAATTTCCTCTTTCTGACAATAATTGGAAATTTGAATTCTACCGTTTCACAATCAACCACTCCTGTTTCTATTATCTTCGCATCGTAATGTTTGTTCGCACATACATTTCAGCCATTTAGAGAATAATTATGCAACGACTGTCATTATCACGGGCTTTTAATAAAAAAAAATTTCTTTTGTTCCGATAATCTGATTGGGTAACGTGATATGCATTTTTTTATCTATTAACTTGCATGAATCTAGTAAATTCTATAGAATATCCATTTTTATGTATTTTTTTTCTCTTTACAAAATTAAACATTGTTCTTATCTCTCTCTTGTACTTTTTTTTTATTCTCTCCTATCAAACAATGTATAGCGGAAAGTAAGTAAAAAAAAAAAATTTCCATTAGGTGAATTTTTTTTTCTTTTATAGAATTATAATGAGACGTTGTTAGAATTTATTGTATTTGAATTTTGTAATGGGAATAATTTTGTCGTCGGTAAAACAAAAAAAAAAAAAACAAAAAAAAAAGTTGGGGCTTGATAATTTTTTTTTACCAGATATTTCTTTGTAAACGAAATCTAAAAAAGGAAAGAATGTGTTACCTAAGCCCCCCATCACTTTTATTAGAATCAAATAATTTGATTGATAAAACATTCAAATTAATTGAATTAATTAATTTTCTTTTTTTTATAATAGGACTTATAAAATTCTTTTGGCAATCGAAGAATCATCTATTTCACATAATGCAATTGAATACGCGTTCGATCTATGCTCGCGTTTAAAAGATCCGTATATTCTATCAATAATCTATGTCATTGCATTAAATCCTGAAACAAGTGTCCCTTTTCTGTAAGTACAATGGACTTCATTATCCTGAATTTATTTATCATAATTATCTCATTTTTTTTATTTTCCATAAACAGGCATAATCTAGACAAAGCAAATAATCTTGATATTCTTCTTGATGCAAAAGAGACTGTGGGCAAAATAAGAGATTATTTGAAGACATACGATCATAACTACGTATGATTACTTTATTAAAAAATCTTTTTTTTTTTCCTTTTGAGTTATAAAGACAGACTTAATTAAAATTTTCTTTAATTATTAAATTCAGCCGAATGTACAATATGATTTTATTGAACACGAAAGTCATGGAACCGTCGGGGAAATTCTAACAGAATATATTTCTCTACAACAACCGAATTTGTTAATTATTGGATCAAGGAATCTTGAAGGTTTACAAAAGGTCCGTTTGTTATTCCCTAGAATATCTTCCGTATGTTTTCAAATCAGTATTTCTCGAAATATAGAAATTTGATTGGATCATAAGCGATTACTAAATATATGATCATTTTATTAAATTAGATTGTGTTGAGTTCAACCAGTGATTATTTGGTGAGACATGTACGCTGCCCGGTGACAATCATTAAACAATGAAAATATTATTTTCTTTTAAGTTTGAATAGGTAAGTTTGTAAATTACAAACAATATGGATATTATATTACCATCCTTTTACATTTATGTGTATTGTTTCCTGTATATTATTTTTTTTCTTGCATTTGAATACATCGCATAACAATATCGATTAAATACTTTATTTTATTTAATAATGTGTAAATATAATATCTATAAAATTTTAAATTCTACCCATTCGTAAACAAATAAATTCGTCAGAATTTCGTAAAATGAGGCAGATGGCGTGTCACCAAACCACATATTATTTATAAAGTGTATTATTCTTTGAGCTTGTTGTGCTTGGGAACAATAATTCAAAATTTACATTTGTTTTGACTTTTTACAAGTTATTACTTAAAGGAAAGAACGAATTTGGTGATAATTGTTAAAAACAAAAAACAAAAAAACAAAACAAACCCCGTCGTTAAAATCTTTGAAGTAGGAGCAAATATTTATTCACTCGTTCATTTTTTTTTCCCCCACCAAATACACTATGCATGGATGTTACTTGTGGAACATCAAAATTTAGAATTTTTGCTCTCTGAATGACTATTTAAGAAGGAATGGAATTTTTTTTGTCAAACTTTTTATAATTTTCTCAAGGATTCAAAAATATAGAAATAACCCGTAATTATAATTTCAAATTATTTTATATATGTAATGGTTTGTGTTTTCAAAATAATTTTTGTACTTTTCATACGATAAAAATAAATTACCAAACTGTTGGTTAAGTTGGTCCGTGCGCAAAAGTAAACGGTATATGATTGGATAATCTAATAGATGTAATTTAAATGAAAGTGGCTTAGCCTAGTATTTTATATAGATTCATCGATTTTTTTTATCATATTTAAATTTTGGCAACTTTAATATATTGAATTTTTGATAATGTTTTCCCGATTTTCCATCAAATGTATTACTCCTTTATCCATTAATAGTAAACGACAACAAATTACTTTTGCTAAGCATTATTTCAGAAATCAATTAATATGTAATGATTTTAAAATTCTTAATTGGACGAAAAATCCGATAGCGACAATATATCAAATTAGGAAATTTTCTAATTCAAAAGGTAATAATATCAGCACATTGTATTTTATATTTAGATCAAAAGCTTACTGCCAATATAAAACTTTTTTTCTTGCTTTAGTGTCTTTCCATAAAGAAATCACACCTCCGAAAGAAGGGGAAGGGTAGGTAAATTTACATTATTATTATTAATTTTTTTTTTTGTTTTCAAAGGATCATTTTGGATCATATTTCTTTTGTCTAATTCTTTTTTTTTTTGAATTACACTTTTAAACGCATAGGGTAAAGATTAATTTCGTTACTCGCGAAGGCGATAAAAAAACAATAGTAGCCAATGTTGGGGATAGTATTATGGACATTACTCAATCACATGATATTGATTTAGAATGTTTGTCAATTAAAACATAATCCTCCTTTAATTTCATCGTTTTCATTTTTAACAATACGCTTTTCATTGGATGTAGGCGCGTGTGAAGGATCATTAGCGTGCTCTACGTGTCATGTAATTGTAGAACCAAAGTATTATGAGAAACTAGAAGAACCGACAGATGAGGAAAATGATATGTTGGATCTTGCATTTGGTTTAACAGAAACGTAGGTTATAAAATTTACTGTGAAAATTTTTCTTTTCGAATATTATAAATCAAGTCTGATCTTTTTTTTTATGAATGCAGTTCACGGTTAGGATGTCAGATCGTGATGAGAAAAGATCTAGACGGGATAACTGTTACCATACCTTCTGCAACGAGAAATGTGAAGTTGGAAGGTAGTTAATTTTATTAAACATTTTATTTTATGTGACAACAATTTTGATAAGTTATGTAAATCAAATAAATATATAATAATTTTTTTTTAATTTTTTAATTTTTTTTACAATAGAAATGAAATTGTCATAGAAATATTTTCTATAGCCCTAGAATTAAACATCGTAATAAGTGTATATTATATGAGATATGTAATAAAATATCAATCAACGCCCTGGAAATCATTACATTGTAATTTAAAATTATAACCTAAAAAAAAAAAAATAAAACTTTAAATTTTATGCATATAGATCAGATTCCAAATCTTCAATTTCAGCTTTAACAATATGTTTTCCAGGTATCATAACAAGTCCGACGAATCTCTTCTCATCTAAATTAAAAAGAAAATAATAAGATTTCGGGATAAATTCCAACTTATTTTTTTTTTGTATTTTTTTTTTCTAAAAAAAAGGGGGGAATTACCACCACGAACTTCTTCGGCTTGTGACAAAATGATATTTTTATATTTGTCGATGCACATAAAAATTCCATTAAATATACGACCATCTGAAGCAGTGATTCTGGTTTGTAAGTTAAGGTACGACCGTAATTGTCTTATTTTCGGTTTATCTTGTGTATTTTCCATTTTGGATATATATATTTTCAATTATTACAAATAAAAATAAAAAATTCAAGTTAGAAACCAGTTGATCGGGGGAAAAACCATTTCTCCGTGCAAAAAAAACCCACCCCAAAGGTTTTTAAATTTTTTGTCAATCGTGTAACCAGATGTAACCAGATGTTAAACAAGACAAGTATTTATCAAAACATAATTATAATTATTTTTTTTGTGTACATTGTTTGCAGGTCATCTCATCTGTTTTAACTTTTCTTATTTTCTAATTTTTATTTCACTCATTTATTTATAATGCTTTCCAAACAAGACGTAAAATTTAAACCTTATACCAACGGAATAAAGTCCGATGATAAAAAGAAATATAATGAGAAAAAATTAAATAAATGTTCCGATGATGAAATAGTATTGGAATTTGGAGGACCATGGGGAGTTACAGCGATGATGATTGGGTTTCCATTATTAATGTTTTATCTTTGGGGATGTTTACAATTTTATCGTGGTAAATTAGTATCACCATTAGAAAATGAATTATGGTCAAAAATAGTAATAGAAGCATGGCCAACTTGGTACGCTACTAAAATTTACGTTACGTTTTGTTTATTTGAACTTTTTTTGGCATCTTTTATGCCAGGACCAATTGTCAAAGGAGCTCCTGTGGTTTCATTAAAAGGAAAACAATTGGATTATTTATGTAACGGAGTGACATCTTTATACGCTACTTTGATTACTTCTTACCTACTGCATCATTATGGTTATTTTAGATTAACTGAAATTATTGATAATCTTGGTCCTTTGATGACCGTGGCCATTATTACTGGATATGTAATTACCTTTAGTGTTTATATTGTAACAATTATTCAAGGAAATCAATATCGTATGTCTGGTTATTTAATGTATGATCTTTTTATGGGAGCTGCTTTAAATCCGCGACTTGGCAGAGTTGACCTTAAATTATTTGCTGAAATTCGCATTCCTTGGGTAAGGATCGAGGAGAATAATTAATGAAAAACATAATGCCATGAAGAAAATAAAAGATGTATTAAGAAATCCTTTTTAAAAATTTTTAGGTTATGCTGTTTTATATCTCTGTGTCTGCTGCAATTAATGAACATGAGATGTTCGGATATGTATCTGCACCTATGGCATTTTTGGTCCTGGCGCATTTCTTGTATGTTAATGCTTGTGCCAAGGGTGAAGAATGCATTCCAACCACCTGGGATATAACATATGAAAAGGTATCAGCAGTATCTAATCAAGGATTTGTTGTGATCATCTCTACTAGCTCTAAGAAATTTCTCTTTCCAAAATCTTAACCTTAGTTTGGATATATGCTGATTTTCTGGAACTTTGCCGGAGGTAATTATGTAATTTAACTGCGTAATATATGATTGATTCACTTAATAAAATATAAAAAATGTTTTTTTTTAAGTACCATTCACATATTGTTTTGGAACAGTATATCTTCATATTTTCAATATCGATAATGGAAAGCCGATTCATCATGTCCCAGGATGGACTTACTTCTGTTATGCATTATTAATATCAGGTTATTATATTTGGTAAGTTTAATTTAATTTTATCACTTTTAAACTTCTCATCAAAAGAATAAAACTTGATTTTCTCGTAACAATTCTTCTACTTTCTAGGGATACTGCAAATTCACAAAAAAATCGGTTCAGAATGATAAAAAATGGAGCGTACATTCCACGTTATACATTCCCACAATTACCATGGGGTACCTTAGACAATCCTTCATATATTAAAACTAAGCAAGGAAATTTGTTATTAACGGGAGGATGGTGGGGTATTGCACGTAAAATTCATTATACGGCGGATTTAATGATGGCATTCTCTTGGGGTTTCATTTGTGGTTTTAATACTTTAATACCATATTTTTACCCTATATTTTTTGTCGTGGTATTGGTTCATAGAGTTACCAGAGATATGGAAAGATGTGCTAGGAAATACGGTAAAGATTGGGATGAATATTGTCGTCAGGTTCCTTATATATTTATTCCTGGTATTTATTAAGTATAAAATCATGAAAATTTGATTCGTTTAATGTGAAACTTAAAAAAAAAAAGAATGAGCTTTTTTCCCTTTACATAAAATAAAAAGACGATTTTTTTTTTCATGGGATTGATAAAAGTTGTTTTATCATTACTCATTTGTATAACCGTGATCGTCATGTTTTCATGTTTTCAATATCTAAATCAAGTAATTATTTGACAAAAATAGTTTCGTATAAAATAAACAAAATTTTGTTTTTGTTTTTTATAATAATAAAGAAAGTTGAACTTTTTCTCTTTATTTATGATATAATCTACGAAAATTATGATATCTTTATCACAAATTTTGATTTATGATTTCAATTTTCTTTTTATCCCAATACCTGTTTCAATAAATATTAAAATTAATAAATAGAGAAGCTTTAAAAAAAAAAAATTCTAAATTTATTTATTATAAATTTTTTAATATAATATAAAAACTTTATTATATATCAAATACTATCTATTATTGCAGTAAAAAAAAAAATTGAATTTAACATTAATTCAAAAAAAAAATTTTTTTTAAAGTTTTCTTTTTTTTTTTACTATAAAGTATTTTATTTTTATAGCTTACAATTTTTTTTCCTTTTCTATTATTAGGGTCATATTAAATAATAATTCTATAAATTAGTAGAATAGTTATAAAAAACATATATCTTAATCTTTAATATTCAAATAAAAAATCTATTAATATCAATAATTATAATAAATTTAAATAAATTAAAAAACCAATTTTTTTTTTAAAATAATTTATAAATTAAATAATTTATTAAATTTTAAAAATATAAAGCTTTTTATATTAACTAAAGATAATGTAACAATTAATTTAAAAATTATAATTTGAAGCATATGCCAAAATTACAAATGTTTTCAAATCCCATTTTTTAGATATGATTTCATATTGTAGTATCATGTAACTTAACAATACTGTGACCATAGATTCTAGATTTTGTTTATATAAATCAAATTCAATAAATGTGTATTTAATTTGTTTATTTTGACTTTTAATCAAAATAAACTTTAACTTCTAAAAATAATGAAAATGTCTCAAAAATTAATTATAGAACAAAGAGACACCATATTTTTTTTTCATTAACATGATAATAGTTACCAAAATATTGCCTTAACTATCAGTTATAAAGTATCAATAGCATTTGACATTTTATTATAAAAATATTTTAAGTGTAAACCTTTACAAAATTTATATAACTTTCATAATCCTTTGCAATCTTACATATTTCTTTACAATTTTGAACTATAAATATTATAAATATTAATTATGTAAGATTACATTTAAGTATAAATCTTTATAACACTATATTTCATAAACCTTTATAGGATATCTAAATTATTGCAAACTTTTACAATTAAGGATATTATCTTAAACTACTAAAAATTAATTTTGGTTAAACAAAACTAATTTCAGTAGTTTTAGCTATTAATTAAACTAGTTTTAACACTTAACTAAATTAGTTTTGATTATTCTAAACTATGAAATTTTAGTTTTAGATAGCAATATTATTTGCAATATTATAATGTAAATCTTCACAATATTTACACTTTTTAATGTAAATTTTACAGAGATTTATATATTAAAATTTTTCTTGATGTTTAAAACAATAGATATACTGAAATCACTAATTTAAAGCCTTATTTTAATCAATAACCCTTTATTGAAACTTTATAATAAAATTAGCTTAAGTACCTTTTAAATAATAATAAAGAAAAAAATTATTACTTATAAAAATCAGAAATTTAATAACTTTAAGTAAAAAGATCAGTTAAGATATTCTACTTACTATACTTTTAGCTAAATACTTTGTATCTTTAGTTTGAATAATTATATTAATTATATTACTTAACATAAAGTTATAATTAGAGCTCCGAACAGGTCAAGTCGGGTCAGATATAAAATTGACCTGAATTAAATATACATTTGACCTGACCCGACCCAACCTGATCTGTCTAAAAAAGAAAACTAAACAATTATTAATTTTGTTTAATATTTTTTTAAAAAAATATAAAAAAATA